CTCCGGCGGGGCGGGGGGCGCGCGGTGGGCGGGGCGGAGCAGGCGGGGCGTGGTCGGGGGCGGGGCCGCCCGTGTTCTCCCGCCCWGCACAAGGTCACTGCCATTAGACACGCAGTGTGTGGCCGGGCGGGGGGAGCGCCCCAGGAGCAGCATGCCCTAGGCGGGCCGGGAAGGCGGAAACTGCGGGGTACCTTGGCCCCTGGCGAGAAGGAGAGGGCAGCCCTGGGGCGGGAATCGGGATCAGGGGAGGCTGTGCCCCCCCCCAGCAACTGGGACCGCACGGGGTGTGCCGGGGGGCTCTGGTGTGCCGGGGGCTCTGCCTCCACTCCAGTGCAGCCTTAGGGCTCCCCTCTCTGCTTCGTGGACATTGGGATCTTGGCGGATCTTCTGCACAAGCTGCTTGCCGGCAGGGGCACTCATTGGAGCCGTTTCCGTGCGGGTGCCAGCTTGCACGGCACTTGGAAGCATGTCCTCATCTTCCAGACGTTTTGCTCGTTCCAATCCACCAATGAGTCCCAAAGTCACTGTAAACTCGGAAATGTGAAGTGTTTGCATGGGGAGGAGAGAATACAAAGGAGCACGGGTGTGTGCGGGGGTGCGGGACATTCCCGCGAGAGCCCCCGTTTGTGCAGGAGCGGAGCGGCGGGTGCGGGAGCCGCGGAGCGGGCGGCACGGAGCCGCGGGCCGCCCTCCCGCCCCCGCCACACGGCCCCGCGCCCACCTGCCGCAGCCATCTTGGCTAAGGGCGGGCACCGCCCCCTGGGTAGCCATGCTGTGTTAGGGCAGGAAGTCCCTAGCGATGCTGTGGGAGCCATCATTGCTGAGGGCGGAACGCACCTGCCCTGCGTCCATCTTGGAGAAGGGAAGGGCAAGGGAGGCCGTGGCGCGCTGGTCCCCTGGTGCCTGTTTAGGGATGGTGAAACGCAGCCGTGTTCGTGCGCTTGTCTGCCAAACATCTGGATTTGGCTAGTGTGCCAAGGTGTGGGGGACAGGCCCACAAACGGGCTGGGATAAAAGCATCCTTTGCTTCAGGGAGTCTGTTGTGAATTCCACATAAACCATAACTGCCAAGGGAGAACCGTTGAGCATCACGATGGGTAACCAGTGACAAACCTCTRCATGCTGTGCAAGGGCAGCTTAACAGACACCAAAATGTTAATACGCACCAGCTCCTGGCTGCCAGCGGGGCGCTGTTGGAACCAGCTGCGTGGTGGGAGCTCCTGGCTCAAGGAAGGTGGCTGGCTTAGGAACGGAATGATGCACGCTGTGTGGAAAGGGTCTGCAAAGTAAAGAAATGCCCACTGAAACTGCAAACAGCAGGCATGAAYCTGTAAAGAGACGGCTGGAGAGCACTGCTTTGCACCGAAAGAAGGCTTAGCCTTCCACCTTTCGGTAAACCGCGTACGTGTTGTTAGATGCAGCAAGGCTTTGAGAGTGGGCGCTGGGGAGGGCTTGGTTCACAGAGCCCCCCGGCTCCGCGGCCGGCTGACGTTCCGCGCTCGCCTCGCCGACGGGAAGCCCCATGGAAGCCGGTCCGGGTGACGGACCTCACGGCACCGCCTGGAACAGGAGGCAGGAGCAGGAATAGCGTGAGACTATCTACGCACTCACCTTCATGCAGACAAATGCTCCTGAAAGGACGACACGGGCAGCACAATCAAGAAAACCCTTATCCACAGCCTTCCAGCCACTTGGTGATCCTGGTTTAGCGCAACTGCACCTAAGCTACCAGAGCAGCCTTTCTATTTCGATTCCTCTAGCTCCCATGTGCACATTTTATATCTTGATGAAGTCTTGTCTCCCCAGCCCTGTCACGCTCAGTTTGGAACAAAGTGTTCCTAAAGCCTTCTCCACTCGAACGAGTGAGAAGCGGTGGAGAGGCGAAGCAGAGGCGAGCGAGGAGGCGCAGCGCGGTGCCGCCTCCCTGCAGCCCTKCTCGCCCCTCCACAGCCCCGCTCCAGCGACTAACAGCCGAACTGCTCCCCATGGGAATCCTGCCGGGCTCCCCATGGGAATCCTGCCGGGCAGCGCGGTGCCGCCTCCCTGCAGCCCTGCTCGCCCCTCCACAGCCCCACTCCAGCGACTAACAGCCGAACTGCTCCCCATGGGAATCCTGCCGGGCTCCCCATGGGAATCCTGCCGGATTCCCTGGAGCGCTCTGCTTCTCAGGGCAGCTCCCAAAGCGCCACGGGGCCGCTGGTGCGGGACCCCACCACGCTGCTAATGGACAGCAGCAGCGTCCTGCCCCTCGTGCTCCTCGTCCTCGTATTTCAGGGCTGAAACGCGCAGGTGACAGCTATGGAGCACGTACGCGATAAGAGCAGCCTGAGAAACAGCAGTGCACGTGAGGCTTATTGCCAGCCCTCGATCGGGCTCTTTGGTGGGAGTCACGGCTTAATTCTTTCTCTGTTCGCAAGCCTAATACATCCAGGGACTCAAATGATCATGTGGTGAATAGACACTGGGCTTGGGGAGGTGTCCTTGCATGTGAGCTCCTACTGCAGCGCAGTGCCGCCGTGTGGCACCTCCCGGCTGTGCCTTAGCGCAGTGCCACCGTGTGTGTGTGTGTGTGTGTCCCCTGTGCTGCTCTAGGGCAGTGCCACCGTGTGTGTGTCCCCTGTGCTGCTCTAGTGCAATCCCACCGTGTGTGTGTCCCCTGCGCTGCTCTAGTGCAATCCCACCGCGTGTCCCCTCTCCTGCCTTAGCGCAGTGCCACCATGTGTCCCCCATACTGCTCTGGGTCAGTGCCACCATGTGTCCCTCTCCGCCTTAGCACGGTGTCACCTGCTATTCGCTGGGATTCAGGGACACTTCGGAGCTGGGAGCTCCCAGGAAAGTGATGGGAAAGGGGGAGATAAAGTTATTTATCCTTAAAGCTACTGCACTGCCTTACCTGAGAGCGGAGCAATAAGGTATATGGCACTTCTGCGCTTGTGCTTGCAAGCTCTGGTGCTACGAGACGCTAAGCGAACGGCACCGTCTGGTCTGCGTTTGCAGCCTGGCAGTACCGCTGCCKGCATGGTAAAAGCTGTGTGTCTGATGGAAAAAAAAAAAAAAAAGAATGGTTTTGTCACCTCCAGCGCCATTCAAAATAAAAGAGGTTCTTCAACACAGATTCAGAGATCTGCTGAATTCATGGGTTAAAAGGCTTTTAGTAAGTCTAAATCATTTCAGCTGGACTTTTCTGCCAGTCCATTTTTTGGTATTTTTTGCTCCCACCAGGGATCAACTGTCCTGTTACCTGTGAAAATGCTAGCACCTGTGGTCAGGAGAGCAAAGCCGTTCCAAACCGAAATTGTTTTAAATCACTGGATTATCTGAATGCCTAAGCTGGCTCATAAGGGTTCCTGAAGGAACGTTAAATTGTCATTAAATTGAAGTTCTCTTGGGCAAACCCATAGATTTCAGTGAACCAATAAAATTGTCYGCACTGGTGCTGTTTAGTTCAAACTCTGAGCATCTGTATTCAAAGTTTACGAAATACAAAGAGGGAAARAAGTGAAAAGTAGGAAAGGAAAGATCTTAATTGTAAAAACATTGATTTTTTTTTWAAATCATATATTGTATCCTTATCAGACAGCTGTCTAAGGAAGAAAGGAACTATTCCAAGTAGCCACTGTAATACRTAAAGTACAGCGCAGCCTTTGGGCAGTAAGTCAGCCTCTCATTGTTGCGTGGAGATTACCTTTCGCTTCGTTCTCTGGGAGCTTTCTTACTGATTTTATAAAAATGAGGAAGGCCAAGCTGTAGCTGCCAGCACCAGGGTTCTCTCTATGCAACGTCTGTGTTTGATCATTGCTGGATACAGATTAATTAATCAATTGCAATATGCAAAAAAAATGTAGTGACATTTCGTTCTCTGTAACACAAACATAACTTTTTCTTATTTTGAAAGTAACACATAATTAATCACAGATAAGCATGAGCTGCTGACTTTTATCAAGACACTCATTTTCTTTGTTGCTTTCTTAAATGCAA